GCAGTGCCTCATATTTTCAAAAAGACGAGTATGAGTTCTAGAAAGGGAACATAATTCTGAGTTTCGTTGGGAGGCGCGGGAGAGAAATAAGAAAGGGACAGAAAAACGTGAGTAGTCTACTGTGGAGAGCATGTTCCTAATTTGCCGAAGCGAACCATTTAGGAGGACCCATCCATAAACAGGCCGATATCCAGAGAATAACTTAATAGCTTTTTATTTGATTAACGATCTGAACAAATTGATCCTCTTTCAGGTTTTTTGCGCATATATTCCTCTGACTTTCTTTGGATTACTGAATATTGTTTGCATTCTAATTTCTGATTCTAAACATGTCATTAGCTTACCTTACCCTGTACATGATTCGATCAGTTGAAATAAGAGAGCGTGACTCTGCTGCTTTGTCAGGATAGATTCTGCAGCCCAGGTAACAAACTCGATTTTACCGTTTTCTGACCGGACTTACACTCTATCTTTTCTCCATCACCTATGATTTATAGCAGTTTATCGACCTCCTTCCTCAACAGCATCAGACAAGGATGGGTTCATACTGATCCGGAAGTTCAAGAACAGTTCCAGCGCAGTTCTTGAACTATACTGAGACTGAGCTGAAGCTGTGCTGTATGCGCTGCAACAGCCCGCATGCGGTTTTGAGCCGCGCAAAATAGCATTTGACTTTTTCAAAGGTTTTCGTAGCATATTTTGTCCATTCTCGTCTCATTTTTGCTCCTCGCTCATTATTGTTATGAAGAAAATTTCAAACTCGAAGCAAGGTTCGCATTTCTTTTTGCTGTACTAACATTGTACAAGCGTTGTAAAATAACTGCCCTCGTCGAGCTTTAAACACCAGCATGAGCGAGCGGTTGTCGCGAAGCGCTATAAGCGGTCTTACTCGCTCAAGAATTTTCCGGGCAAAATTTATTGTTTTCAGCCTTGCACAGCATGTTTTAGCCAAAAGTGTTTTTGGAAGTTCATAAAAATACATATATAGATGGCGCGCGCTCATTATCGCCTCTAAATAGCTTTTATCGCGTGAGGCCCTATGCCTCTAGCCGTTTCGCGCGCTGGTATTCAAAGCGAGGTGCGGACAACTGTGTTTTGTAGGTCTATACTTTCATTAACGATCAAACGATCAAACCAGCTTATCTTATTCGATAGAAACTTTATCCTAAAAGGCACCGTCCACCCCATTTTGACTTCCAGGTTTTTGTCTTTTCAAAACCTTCTCATGTCCCTGATTCCGAATATGAAGGCGAGAATCCGCGTAAACCCCTACAATCCCCGTTTCGGAGAAACCCACAGGCCGGCTTTCCGGAACAGAGATTGGATGGGCGCGCACGGATGGGTGGGCATGGATAGGGGGGTGATGCCGTCTGGAGACCATGCATCTTCTTACTCCGGAGCTACTTTCTCGCTGCCAAAGCGACATTACGAGCCGCACTGGGCATTGGCTTGATGGGGAGCCCTACTATCACGTGCTACCAAAAACTCAAGACTTTCAACTTAAAGTGGACGGTGCCTTTAATCCTCTCCTCCCCGCAATCAGTTCCATCATTGGCGCCTCAAAACACTTCTTATAGTACGTTCTCTAATTGCGCTAAGGAGCTTTACTTTTTGCAATCCATTCAAAACCTTGCTCACCTTTAGAATTATCTACGTTAAGGTCACTTCAGCTAGCTTCTATCCATTCAACTCATTTACATTCCAAAAAGGATGACAATCTTGATTTTAGAGATGGAAAAACTTTAGATACTTCGCTTTCATTGAGTCTGTCTGTTTTCTATGCCAAGTTCAAATCTTAGTGTTTAGGGCTATTCATTTATAGCCTACATATACCCTATTCTGGGACAGACTAATGTCATGTTTAAAACAGACTTGCGTCATGCTTAGTTTGTATTATTAGTTTGTGCTACAGGCTTCTTGTGTGCTTAATTGCTTGTATTTATTTTTTATGCTCCTTGAGAATAAATTGGAGTAAAAAATAAACAAATCAAAATTGAGACCAGTACGGAAGTTCGCAAAAGTTTCACGCAATTTTGACGGTGAGCGGCGGTGCTTGATCTGCGCATATGTGTGCCGCGTACGCGCTGTGCAGCTGTAGGTGGTAACGTCGTTGGCCCTCCTTGGCAATCTCGGCTTCGATATTCTCACTAAAAGGCAAACTTCCGCAAACAAAGTGCTCACGAGACTAGGGGAGGTCTGCGCTAGTTTTTCTTGCTAAGACGACGTGAGTGGATCCCAATTTAAAACGCGTCGTGTTGCTTATGAGAAAGTTGCTTGGTCGAGCTTTCCGGCATAAATTCTATATTATGCTGAGGACATTGCATGCTGATTCCAGTCATCTGTCTGATTCACTTGGGCTGAACTGTTGTATTCTCTGCGCAGGAGGGACCTTGATACTAATGACTAAATTTTGCGATTATGCGTTCCAGAAAATGCCCATGACTTGGCGTGAGCTGCTCGGCAGATAACAAAATTAGGGAAATGATACTCTTCAAATAAAGATATAATACTCTTCGAAATGCTTATAGTTTATCTGAGCAGCACACTTTGACTGGAAACACTTCTTACTAAACGAGAAGCGTTGTAATTAACTGAAAACTACGAATTTTGAGCTATCAAGCATTGTAGACTGTCTGCCGCGAAGTTCTCAGATAACGTTTTTTGTTCGTCTGCCACACCAGTAAAATCACGAAACCTTCGGAAAGCGGAAAGCGCACTCGCACTGCAGTGTTTAGAACTATATGACAGTCGTCTAAGGCACTTGCTATAGTTGATCTGCTTGATCTCGAAGAGAAGTGAGCGGGCATCAAACGGTTTTCATAATGCAAGCCCATTCTTCTTTTCAAGTGTGTTTAGAGTTCGGGTTTACCCAGCAATTTCAAAAGGTCGTTTGAAATACGAAGGCTGTATCCAGTTTGGGTCGGGCCAGACTGCGCGGCGTACGCGTCGTAGCTCAGGTACATAAACATATGAAGAATCGCTGCGTATGTCGCGTAGCCGCTCACGCCGCGCAGTTTGGCCCAACTCTTTTTGAGTTATTGAGCATTTCTGCATGTTCACGGTACATATAAGGTGACAAATCAATATCTCCAAACGTGTCAATTTCGCATGATATGTTTATGGGCATAGTACTCATGACTATGTTGCACATTTGTTCCGTGTTCGTTCAGTCAATTTCAGCATGCCATTGGCATCTCATATTCAGAAAAAATAGTATTTTTTCGTTATCTATTGAATCAATTCTCAAGTTCAATACATGCTTTAGTTTAGAAAATGTTCATTATTTCTATGAGGAAGTTTATCAGCCCCTTTTTGATTCTGTCTAATTTTTTTAAACCATTTTCCGTAAAGTATGCGACCATATTTAAGATGACTTAAAGGCAGCGTCCGGGCAAGATCCATCCACACAGATGAGCACATAGCTGTAGAGAGGTGCCCATGAATATCCGATTTGCGTTGGGCTTGGCCCGATCCTCTGACGTGGCTTCTAAAAGGAGATACGGGCCTGTGATACGTATCACAAACCGCCCCTTCGTATCACAAACCTCCCCCTGAGGACGTGTGCTCACGCATCGATCGATCACAGATTGCAACTGTACCCATGCAACTGCAGCTCCTCCTCGGTGGCCAGTTGAGGAGATAAAGAACCCGAAACTCGTCCGCGCCCTCAAAATAGGGTCCTCAGAAATCGGGTTTTTTGAGTGTTCTGGACATTTTGGACTTTACAGCTGTAGTCAGGGCCACGGAAAGGCTCCAGAATGGCAGAAGCATGAGAGGCGAAATTTTGCACGGACGCTGCCTTCAAGAGCTGTCAAGCTTTTTCACAAAAATAAAACATTCGTTCAAAGCGTTCAACAAAATAATCATTTTCAGCAATGATTCACATTTATCTTACAGTTCTCTTTGTGAGTTTAGCGTAGAGAATATCCTAAATAACATGACTTTTCCGCCTTTTTTCCAGCATTCAATTGATACTAGCGCTCTTCTATGTTTAGCACAAATATAACGGTTCATCTAAAACAGCCACATTATCACAATGTCAATGTTCCTTTTTTTTTTCAAATCAAAATGGATATAAAAGGATGTGTTCATCGTTGATGCCTTGGAGCAAACTCTACCTCCATATAGTTTTATCGCTCATTCAAAAACAAAAGTACTTTAAAGTATTTTTCAGAGTTAATTTTACCTTGGGAAGTTACCCCAATTTATTTAGTGATGAATAAAAAGTACCTTGAGGTAAATTCTATCTCAAGGTACCTGTATCACTCGTAATCCGTATTCATTAAACAAAGTGCATTTATCTTGAGGTACTTTCTCAAGACAACTTCTAACCCAAGCTGGAGGCAAGGTTAGAAGGATTTTTTTAGAGATCTATAGACCTTCAGAAGCTGATTTTTTGGAATAACGCAGTAACGTAGCTTAGGTCACTGAAGCAAGATTACGAAATTTGGTTGAGTTTAATGAGAGTTATAGGGGTTGAACGAATAGCACAAAATTTCTTTCTACATGCTAAGAACTATAGATGTTAACAACTGTTGTACTTTTAATTTTGTCAAAGTAGAAGTAGTCATGCGCAGAATTCATCCTTTCCGCAGCATCTTAAGCATAATGGCACTGTTACACAAAGCAAAGTTGCTTGATAAAAGCACTTCGTTTTCGATCTTAAAATTTATGAAAAAACAGATGCTGACGTACAAAGCCAGAACCCTCAATTTTGATACCCCTTACACATCTCGGATTGCCCTATCAAATTGTTCTTATGTCTATGTCTTGAGTCTTAAGTGAATGTGGGCCTTGCATGTAGCGGAATGAAAGAGTTGCCTGTTAAATGCAAAAGAGTAGATTGAAAATGTTGCCGGCTTAAGAAAATCTTAACACCTTTACTCTTTATCTTTGTAAAGACGTACATGTGAATGCAGCAAGTAGCTCTGAGAAGTATACTCGAAGACAGAAATTGGCATTTGCTGGTGAATGAAAGACTTTTGGAAGGATTTGGAACAATGATGTATTGGCTAGGACAAACGCCAGAAGACGATTCCGCTGTTGCCGCGCTTGCTCAGTGGGCACGACTTTCCGTGAACCACGTCTATAACTGCAACGGCGACTTACTTGAGGACATGACACTCCCAATCATCTACATTGAAGTGGGAAACGATGTACGCTACCTGATGATAGTTCAAGTTTGGCCTCAGATATCCCTTTGCTTTTTCGAAGAAATAGAGGAAAATTTTTCCGCTAATTGTTAGCCGCACTACTTTCCCCAAACTTCATGGTCAGATACGAGCCTGAACGAGTCGGACATTTGAGTTAATGATTTACAATTATGTAGCATGTCGTGAGTCGTGCACGCGACCTTGTTGATATGCTACAATATTTTTCAGCAATGCTACAATATTTTTCAGCCTAGTGTGAGCACATGCGCTTGACTGGTATTGAAGGTTATATCCTTGGTTCTGGTCTATTATAGATCATGCGCATAGTAAAAACAATTTTCCATTGGATCTAGTTAGCAAGGTTAAAATTGTTGAGTCCAAGGTTGATCGAGATGGTTCCGCTTCAAAGATCTTAAAATCATGGCGCGGCGTAATAACGCTGTCGCAAGTGGTCGCGAGACATAATGAGACAGTCAGGAGTGGCTGCGGAGTACGGTAGTCACGATGAACAGGCGAACAATTACGGTGGCTAAGCTCATTTTAACCGTTTTTTAATTTTGCTTTCATGCCCTGTGTGTTGAATGAAAGGATGTGCGTTCATATTTAGCTCACTACGGGCGAGGCAACGCAAGACAATCCGCATACAACTTCTCTATGTTTGACTGATCGCTCTGCCCCACCTATCTTATGGTCTTTGCTAAATCCACAGTCGATCGTTGTTTAGCGCAGTGTAAGTGCGGGTTATCTGCGATAACCAATAGGTTTCATGATGCATGCGCTTACAGATTCTATGGCAATAAGCAGCAAGGTACTTTAGTCGCACATGTTATAATCGTACTTTTTTTCATTGATACACCTTGGGGTTTACTACAGATCTACAGGTCAACAAATCTAAATCCCGTTAAGTTCCAAAGCGGCATCCTCCACGTTGAGTGCCGCGTTTTCGAGATTTAGCGACAATAAGGGGGGGGGGGGGGGGCAGTACCAAAGAGCTACTTTGGAGGCTTAGCCTTAGAGTTCGTTGAATGTTGAAATGCTGCATGATGTTGACGGTGTTAAACGATTGAAAAGCACCTGTCGAACAGATTTTCGCAATTTGAAGTTACGAAGAGATGACGCATGCAAGCGGGACTATCTATCCCAATGCGAAAATAAAAAGAGGACTTCAGAATAGCACTTTCTTCTATCAAATAAAATTATTTCCCATTTATGTAGAGGCACGTAAATTAAAGTATACGTATTTTCATAATTATATCGATACTTTCAGAAAATAAAGAATATGTGGTAATTTGGATGCGCACAACATTTATACTGGTGGTGGAACATGGGATGAAGTATCGTAGAAATTATCTAGCCTGTTCATTTAGTAACCTGCAAACTGCGAAAAAAATTTGTTGTCATGAAAACTGATATTGACACCGGACACCCTCCATTGAACCTTAATTTGGTAAAAATAAAGCGCTCATTGTACATCCATGAATATTCGTCTAGATGAATTTCAGTTTACAACTGGAAAGGTTAGAAAAGGATTATGGAGAGGTCATTAAGTTCATACCGATTGGGCGTCTAGTGGCGAATTGCGAATGTGACAAAAAAGCTTACGTTGCTTCAAAATCTGTTGCCATCTCAACAGCACCTTTCAGCCGAAAGTTTTTGAAGAGTACATGTATTTCAGTGAACAAAAGCTGCGCTTTACGAAAGAAAGCTGGTTTTTCGCGTCTCACAATTTTTCCATCACAACTTTCCTTTATGCGGAAGTCGCACAAATTGTTCTTTCGCAAAAGCAGCTTCATCTTCCCTCGAAAGTTCTGTAGGGTTGTAGTGCCGTTTTCGAAAGTAGTGTTTTTATCAAGTTTGAGAATTCTGTGGAGCAACAGATCTTCGTGCTGAAGTTGATAGTAGATTAAACAAGCCAAGTAATGCATTATCCGTCACATTCGCAAACCGTCGCTGGGCGTTCAAATGGTACGCCTTTCTACAGAAGCATGGATCAAATCTTCGCTTTCTTTTTTCTATTTTTCTTCAAATATTTCTCATCAGTATCAATTAGTTGTCAATAATTCTCGGAACCAAATTCAAAATCACGAACATTAAAGCGCCGTCTTTGATGGTCGCTTTTACGAGATCTATCAAAACATAGCCTCTGACAATGAGTAACTATCTTGAATATTCAATCTATAATGAGTAACTATCTTAACTATCTTGTCTTTTTTTATTTTCAGATACAAATCATGAATTTAGTTTTGGTTGGTGATTTGAAGAGTTAGCAAACCTTTCTTGATTCACATTCACGATTCATCGACATATTTGGAAACATGGGGAGCGAGTGGCGTAGTGGTTTGAGGCGCCGCTATGACCAGATCGCACCCAGGTTCGATCCCGTCCCTAGGCCAACCAAGCCTTCCAATTTACCAGCCCGCCCTCCGGGGCTGGTAAATTGGTACTAGAGAATGGGAGAATAAAAGCACTGTCATAATCGGCTGGCCACGAAGTTCACTGATTCACTGTAGTGGCCCCATGCATTCATTAGCCTTTTCGACTCTGAAGTAAAGCGCGTTCGGCGCATGCCCGCAAAGGACATTGAAAATGCCGAATCCTTTATCCTTTATCCTGTATCAAATGAGCCGTTCCTGACTAGTTAAAATCTTGTGCTGACCGAAGCTCCACAGATGTCGATGATTTTTGAGAAGAACAGCAAAAAATCCATTCTTTTAAAATAGAATATGAGCAATTATACCATACAGTGTCACAAATACATTATCAGAACATAACGAAGTCCTTTTGGGACCAACTTGCCAAAATTCTGCACCAAACCCAGTGAAATTATTTTATTCCGCACACAGAGTCAATAATGTTATGCTTGCAAAGTACATATATGTATGTAGCTCTTCAAATTCTTTTCCAACAAAACAAAAACCGTTTTTTCTTTACTACCAATGATCCCATTTTTCTCCATTATGGACTTTGTAAATATTATTCCAGCATATCCGCAGCTCATACAATAAGCCCACTACCTGTTTATGTGTATCTGTCTATGTCCAGTGTGTACCATATCCCAATTCGGATTAGGTCAAAGCTGGCACGATGCGCGCCCGCACCGCTATGGTTTTTGCTTGGCGTCCGTAGAAAAACTTTCCTGTTCATTCCTCATTCTATCTCTCCGCCAACACATTGTGCACGCATATGCGATGCAAACCCCTGAACAATGCGAGCGCACGTTTTCAAGTAAGCCTTTCGGTCTGATTCTATTTGTGTTAGACTGTATGTGGGTGCGTGTGCGCATACTCCAGATAAAAGTCTTTAGTGTTCAGCACGAATCACCGCACATCTCTAGCCCAGATCATCTATTGCACTCATGCATTTCGGGGGAGAGCGGTCGTCATAGGCTTTGTACATTATCGCTTAATATCAATTTACTTTGAGCTAAGAGGTAGGAGCACAGGGGGTAAGTGAACATGCTGATTATGAAAGTGATCATTCTAAGATAACTTAATAGATTTTACAATTTTTGGAAACTTCCAGCACTACAACTACATTTTGATAACTCTCGAAAAATTTACAAGCAAAAATGTAGCAGGATCTAGAGGGGTGGAGGAACGAACGCCTCAATTAGGCACCGCCTCCGCGGACCACTGGTCCCAACACGATGCACAACAGTAGGACGAAAGGACCAGCAGCCCGCGAAGGCGATGCCTAATTGAGGCGTTCGTTCCTCTACCCGATCTAGAGCGATATTGTGCCGAACCGTTGTATTACTTTGCTACGTGAAAACTGCAAACTTTAGCATTGGCATTTCATGGCACTAGGCACGCGTGCATGCCAAATCTACTTTCCGTTTTCACATCTATTTTTGCAAATTCCATGATTCAATATCAAGTCTCAATTCTTCTATTTATACAGCGGATTTGTTGCGAATTGGCTTTGCAAAAGCCCTTTGAGAAGTATTGATGCGAATTCTTGTTTTGTAAGGGAAAGATACCAACGTTAGTCGGGATTTGAAAATGGGATGTATATCATTTAACGCGTCTTTGAACGCTGATACCAAATCTACTTCCCTTTTTTCGGAATAGGTTCCCGAAAGAAGTTATGAGAGTTTGAATGTTCAAATTTGCCAAGCATTCAGTGGCTTAAAATCAACGTGAAGCTCTAAAACAATACCTATGCGATTTCCATCGGCTTTGTTTCTTCATTGCAAACGATCTTAATACAAAACTGACTTTCCACTTTTCGTCAACTTTAAGCCACCTAAACCTTGGCAAATTCAACCTCTAAACGCTCATAACTTTTTTTGAAAACTTGTTCCGCAGAAAAAAAACAGATTTCGGAATTATTGTTCAAAGTCGCGTCTACTTATAGACATCTCATTTTCAATCGCCGACTAATGTTGGCATCCTTCCCTTGTTAGCTCTTCTTTGTCCCAAAAGTCTAGGTACCGCTTCTCTCTCATTCTCCATTCAACTGACTCAACTAGCACTTTCATGTTTTGTCAACAGAAATATTGACATGCAGTTGCTTCTATCGTGACTGGCATGCTGTAAGTGCAACATGCCGGTTATGGAAACATGAGCAGCAAAAATGACTTTGTTTGCTTCGGGAGGGACTGGCGCTTGTATTTTCACTGTTAGGTAGCTTTAAAAGTCTTCTTGGTTTCTATTGCCCGTTTCATGGATTTCACCAAACTGAAAAAAAAATTCAGAAGATCAAACTGTGAACAAATCTCTGCAATGAGCTGCAACGTGGGTTGGGTGCTAAAAATGCTGTTTTTTGCAAACGTGTACTTCATCTTTCATAGGTAAGGGCATTACTTTCACATTGCCGTAAAAATGCAATAGCTTGCACACTTGCATATGACATGCTGGAAAGCACAGTGTGTGAAGCACTAACATAGAAAAGAAGTTTGGATGAAGTGGCTTTTGAGAATGACGTCATTTTTGAGGGCACAAAACATCGTCTAAAGGTCTATTCAAATATATGTATATACTAGCTGGCTTACCCGGCTCTGCCCGCCCCTGTCAAAACATTATGCATATATATGCAATACCGTTCTCAGAGTGCAAAATTTGTAAATGTCGCGAAAATCCCGGAAATCCGCTAATCCGCGAAATTTTCGGAATTTCGCGGGATTCCCAGAATTAGGCGACATTTCCAGACTTTCGCGACATTCCGGAAATCCCGCGGAATTTTCGGAATATCGCCATAACTTCCTTCGGAATGCATAAATTCTGGATCTGAAACAAGGGCTATACTCAGCTCATTAAGGCGAATCTTTTACTACCTTGCCTTACCGTAATTCTCGGGGCACGATTGGTGCACGGTCTGAGATGAATTTTGCATTTTGGGAGAGGGGAGGTGGGTGTACGGCAGCAATCCTTTTGCGATTTTTCCGAAATTCTAGGGTGGGGGAGAGTAATCAGTTGTTTTGGGTGTGGTTAGTTCTAAAATATGCGAACATGCCGTGATGATGCCGTGGATGATGTTTTTCCCCTCTTCTGTTTGTTTAGTAGCTTCAAGCACTTATTTATTACTAGAAGGGGTGGGTTCGAGTACAGGACACAAATATTGTGTTCACCTCCCCTCCCCCAAGAAGCAGAATTTATTTCCTAGTGTGCACCAATCGTGCCCCGAGAATTACGGTAAGACAAGGTACCAAAAGATTCGCCTTAATGAGCTAACCCTTGTTTCAGATCCAGAATTTATGCATTCCGAAGAAAATTATAGCGATATTCCAAAAATTCCGCGAAATTACCGGAATGTCGCGAAATTCCGAAAATTTCGCGGATCTTCGCGGAATTCCGGGATTTCCGCGACATTCACGGAAATTTTGCACGTTCTGAGAGCGGTATTGTATTGGATTTTGTGGTAAGTGATAATTGTAATTTAGTATGATGTGCGATGCGTATGTTACAATGTGAAGTTGTATTAGTTTGGAAAATGTACATTTTTAAGGCTGTTCCATATTTCTTACTTTGGTGGTCCTGACACGAAACAAATATCGAATGATACATGAAGCTTGGGAAATCATAAATTCTCATTTTGCGTTTAAGATCTGTTTCATCGTTTCTAAGTGAGATTTGTCTAGGTTAGTTTTGTTCTGTTATTAATAACATCCATATTGAAGCACCTTATAGACATTCGTTTTATTTTATATTGAAATCTTACTTTTCCGATTGTTCATCTTTTCATATGATGCATTCATTTCATGTGTGTCTTTGATGGCATATATCTAGGTGTGTGTATGTGGTGTGTGTGTTTATTTTCATAGGTGTCTGTCAGTGACCTACCCAGGATTTCCGCTCGGGGAGGGAGGGGGGAGGCGCGACAAAAATTTTTTTCGGATGAAGGTGCGTGGCGTTAGCCACGCACTCCGAAAATTTTTTAAGGGTGCTTCTCAAAATTTTTGCGGGCCCCTGCCCCTAAAATCTGGAAAAAGGGGGCGTGGCTGACGCCACGCCAAAAAATTTTTTTACAAGGCTAAATTGAATTTTTAAAAATTTTTAAAAATTATTTTAATTGTTTACAATTATAAACAAGTTACTTGCGCTTTTTTATAACCCATATAAGTAACTTTCAAAAATTTCGCGACCCATTCTCAGGGGGGGGGGCGCCCCAACCCCGCCCCCCTCCCCCCCCCTTCGGTACGCCACTGGTGTCTGTATATGTATATACGTATATTTATGTGTGTATGTATGTAAGTATATGGTGTGTCTGTGTATGTATGTATAGTAGTGTTTGCGTGATGAGTGAATATGCGCGTGTGTGTATGTAGTGTGTAATGCACAGTATTTTAGTAAGTGGTGATAGTAATCTAGTATGCTGTGCGGTGTGTATGTTACTATGTGAAGTATTGCAATGGCGTATATAGTATATGTATGTATCACGATTGACTAATAATAATCTTTTAACTGCTTCGATGAAAGCATAGCCTATTGTTTATTTATTTTTATTATAATAATCTTTTTTTAGGGCACGTGAACAGGAAAGCTTTGATAGACTGGGTCCGTGTCACCGGACTAGGAAATCCCAGAAAAAGAAAAATGGACCGTTTATTAGAGAATATCTACAGATATATTGAGGTTAGTTTCTATATTGATTATTTATGTATATGACTAACTAATACTTATTAATATAGGTACCCGACATCAAAAGGAAATCCTTTTTCTTGTCCAGCACCCGCTGGGATTTCAGGTGGAATACTGGCAATCCGCCTCAGTTTTTTTTAAATTAATATTCTTATTATCCTTATTATTATTGTTAAATATTATGGTAATGATTGTGTTTTAGGCTAGAATCACATTTGATTTTTGGCGTACTTTTATGGCCGAAGGTAGGAAAACGCTGTACGAAAACAACTCCAAAAACGGAACAGATATAAAGATAATTAGGGAACGCACACTTTCTTTGGAAGACCAAGATAGGCTTGGGTAAGTATTTTGATTAACATTTCCGTACAACTTTAGGCTTATTAGACTATTTCAGTTTATTCATAAGGAAGTCTATAAAAGATGCGTGTGCTCGCAAAAACAAAAAATGTATAGACATCACTCTAAAGAAGAGTCTTATCAAGATTGGAAACAACGAGGTATTTTTATTTTAATTAGCTAAGCTGGAAAACTATTACCAGTGTTCCAGCCTGTGAATCCTGCTGTAGCATCAGTGCTGCTAAACTTGGATTTGTCTTCATGGACAGGATTACCAGTTGAAGAATTACTTAGCAAGCAAGAGAAAACTAAAATCCAGGTAAGTATGTATTTTAATAGTTATAAAGATGAACTTTCTATTATTATCATAATTACGTGAACGAATTTTTTCCAAAATGCTTTATTACTTTGCAAGGAACTGAAAAATGCGTTTAGACTGGTGGAATAAAACGTGGTTCTCTCACATTGCCGGAAATTCAATCATTTGTCATTAATGGAAATGGAAGAATTAGAAGTGGAAAAAGAAAATGAAGGAACTTCAAGCGAAACAATTCCAGAAGAGAGGGTCTGTTTTTATAATTAGTAATGTATTATCTTATCTTCGTTTATTTATAAATATGTAATTATTACTCTATACGTACTTATTTATATAAAGGCAAAAGAGTACGACTTCAAATTGATTATTCAACTTATTTCAGGTACAATCGTCATCACACTTGAAGAAGCGTCCTATCGATGTCATTGAGGAAGAACCTCCTAAGAAGAAGGCTTTAGCATGGCCTAATCAGAGGTTCTGTCATGTTCTAGGATCTTCAAATTGTTTAGTAGCCTTAGAGTTTTAGCAATTTTTGGAATTTATAATTTTATAGGGAATATTTTGTTTTCGTCTTGAGTTTGCACAAGTTTTAAGTTTATCTAATAAATGTATTTGAAATCATGATAACGGCATAAAATTAGGTCTATGCGACAGTTGGCCCAATTGGCCGGAACGATGCGGTAGCCTCGGTTGGGCTATGAGGTCGACACCTCTACAAAAACAGCAAAAACAAAAGGAATTTTCATAAGAAACTAGCAACCAATGGAATAGGGAATCCCACGAGTTATCATTAGCTGCTAGCTTTAACAATAACACAAATTCCTAACGACAAGAAACTATCCTATTAGGTAACAGAATAAAAATGAAGAAAATTGAAAATAAAAAATTCCGTTTTGTTCCTACCCTTAGACAGAGTAAAGAAATTTATACTAGCCCTCCCCGGAACTCCTCAGTAAGGAAGGAGGACTAAATAAAATAAAAATATACTTACCTGAATCGCTTATGTCCTTGTCCGGTGATGTCGTTCTGGGCTGAAGTGGATGGTAATAAAGGAAATTATTGGCCGTTATATTTTCATAAAATATACTCAGCTAAATTTCTATTGTTGATTTTATTCGCAGGTAAAATTTGCTATAGAGCGCGAAAGTAGTCGTTTTATATAAAAGGGTGTGTGTGTGTGTGTGTGTGTGTGTGTGTGTGTGTGTGTGTGTGTGTGTGTGTGTGTGTGTGTGTGTGTGTGTGTGTGTGTGTGTGTGTGTGTGTGTGTGCTCAGATAACCGCCGGGGGCAGGCGGCCATGCGAATTTTGAGCAAGCGCGCACCGGAAAAATAGTTCGTTGATTTTTTGCCGCCCGCTTGCGGAAATTTGGAAGATAGTTGGCGAAATTAAAGACGAATGCTTGAAGAACAGTCGCGGTTTCTTCATGGATTAACTGCGGCGCAGTGGCCGCATTCTCGCGGACTTTCCGCGAGAATATGCAAAAATTTCGGGGGCCGCACGGTCCTTTGTGGAAGACCGCGCAACCCCCAGGTACTTTCCGCTGGGAGAAAGTACCTCAAACTTGAGTAATTAAACCAACGGTGACACCTCTGCCACACAGAGTCTTACCAGCGCTCGACGTACGCCCGAAAATGCCTAAAAAAAGTCCGAGCGCTTGCTGAAAGTTTGGCCAGCGCTCGCTGAAAGAAATTATTTGCCGAGCGCTTGCAAAAAATGCTGTAATGCTGCCCGCTGGCAGAATATGCGACCGTAAAGGAAGTGCCGCCCGCTGAAGGTTTGGCCACGCCCCAAAATTCTGCTGACCGCCTGCAGAAAAGCGCGAGTTTGCGGACCGCCTGCCCCCGGCGATTATCTGAATGTGTGTGTGTGTGTGTGTGTGTGTGTGTGTGTGTGTGTGTGTGTGTGTGTGTGTGTGTGTGTGTGTGTGTGTGTGTGTGTGTGTGTGTGTGTGTGTGTGTGTGTGTGTGTGTGTGTGTGTGTGTGTGTGTTACGAAATTCGTAGAGTGTGTTCCAGATATTGTCTCGAGTCCAAATTTGCACAGCGCAAGCTACCATCATAGAAGTCCACCATGCAAAATTACCACCGGATTCGTTGAGTGGATCCCTTATGAAATGCCCGTCAAACAGGTCCACTTGGCTTCTGGCATGCAAAATTGGGTCCTGATCTCTACTTTCTGCAGAGTCGCGCATGTGTTTGGCAAGCAATAGTGCAAGCAATGGACTTAGGCCCAAAAAGTGATCGAAAGTTTACAAATTACTATAACGTGGCCAAAAAGGATGGGTTGCGTAAATGGTCAATTTGCCATGGTTTTACCTGAGCATTTGACAAGATTTTTGCACAAAGATGTAGCTCAAGGTGGCTATTGTTCTCATTGCGACTACCAAAATGATAGACAGCTCAAAAACCCATCCGAATTTGCGTTTGTTCTTCTGCAAAAAGTTTCATCCACTCAAAATCACCGATTCTACATAAAAAAGCATTCAAAATGAGCAGTTGATTACTTTTTATTCGTGATTCGGCATCGCGCGGTGAGTTTCAATGCCATCATTCATTATACGAGAACGAGTAGGGTATTCAGATAGTACCAGTGCGAGCCCCTGCGAAGCAGAGGCTGACGCACTGTTACATACATAAAACAACGTTTGCCTTAATCTAAATTACTTTAGTTACTGTGTTTTGAAATGAAATTTTACACGTGGATTGATACTTCATATCTATGTTTCAAAAAATTTTTTTACTACCTTTTTCCATGTGAAATTGGAGAACAAAAGCCGTTTGACTTTTGATCTATTGTTCGATCGCTTGATGTAAAAGCTTCTCAAGTATCCAAAAATCAATATACAGGGTGTCCCAAAAAATGTTTAGAACGTTTGATCGTTAATATCTCTCTTCCCAAGAAGTCTTTTGCCTTGCTTAAGGTACCGTTTTGTAGAGCTGGCTTCAACTTAGATATCCATTATAGAACGAATCACCCATCTCTCTTCATTACTGTAGGATTACGGTAGAAACTTGAAACATATGGTGTCAATGTGGAAAAAGCTGCCGTTTCAAAATTTTTCAAAAAATTGTGAAAACTTGTGTAATAGGGTTTTTATAGACGCTGAGTTCAATACTCAACTATTCACAAGATTACGAAGCTTTCCAAAAGGTGTAATCGCACTTTTTAGGAACATTGAAAAAAAGGCCGCTACCTCTCACCTGGCATAACTCTTCAATGAAGCATCATAATAAGTTGGGAACTTTACAGTTATAATCAGCAATTCTAATTAGCCTGGTGTAAAAGTTTTCAGGTTGTTTTGTTTCCTTTCTGAGGCAAAATATGGCCTTTCATGGTTCGAAACCCTCTTTGAAGTTTTTACCGTAACCCTACAGTAATGAAGAGAGATGGGTGATTCGTTCTATAATGCAAATCTAAGTTGAAGCCTCTACAAAACGGTACCTGAAGCAAGGCAAAAGACTTCTTGGGAAGAGAGATATTAACGATCAAACGTTCTAAACATTTTTTTGGGACACCCTGTATATATATACTAGCTGGCTTACCCGGCTCCGCCGTATGTTCCGAATAGAAAATTCCATTTCTCAACCGATCCGGACCAAACTTGGCACACATACCCTTCGGGCCCCGGCGGGTGTCACAGTCCACTTTCCGTTATCGATCGATGTCGATTTTATCGATTTTTTGCAAAATTTGAGCTACGGGGCTGGGAGTTGGCAGAGGGGTGTAATCGAGCATGCTGATTACGAATACAATATTAGTTTTCGAAACCGTGCATTACTTTTATCGATTTTATCGATTTTTTTGCAAAGTTTGAGCTACGGGGCTGGAATTTGGCAGAGGGGTGTAATCGGGCATGCTGATCATCCCTACGGGGGTGATCAGCATGCTCGATTACCCCCCTGTGCCAAATCCCAGCCCCGTAGCTCAAACTTTGCAAAAAATCGATAAAATCGATAAAAGTAATGCACGATTTTAAAAACTAATATTGTATTCGGAATCCCCATGCTCACTTACCCCCCTGTGCCAACTCCCAGCCCCGTAGCTCCAATTTTGCAAAAAATCGATAAAATCGATGTCGATCGATACGAAAAGTAGCCTATGACACCCGCCGGGGCCCGAAGTGTATGTGTGCCAAGTTTGGTCCCGATCGGTTCAGAAATGGAATTTTCTATTCGGAACATACGTACACACATACAGACAGACAGACAGACATATAGACAGACAGACAGACAAACAGACATTCAGCTTTATATATAAGAATATTAGGTCGTTCCGAAAGTAATGTCGCTTTTTTCAAATGAACGCCACATTTCATGAAATTAAGATTTTCAACAGATCTTAGGAGCATTCGATGCAGCATTTTATCGTCTTTCTAACGGTTGTAATTTCATTGCATAATTTTCATTGAGCTTTCGAAAAATTGGCAAAATCTGCAACTCATGCTTTTTGCCATGGTCAAGTTCGGCAATTTTTTAAAATTTTTGTACCTATTCTCCGAAGAAGTACAAGTGGCAGGTAGACAGAGCAAACCCTATAGGACACAGAGTAATTTTTTCTTTTCCTTAGCTTGCTTCTCAGAGTTTCTGGAATAAGGTTTAAAATGCTATCAAATTCCATATTTGATCAACTCAAACCTCACAGAACAACAACCGGCAAGCAACTCGGGTGTCATTCGACGCATCTTTTTCTCCTCTTTTTACCAGTCGTTTTTGGTTTCCGATTCATCAAGTTTTCCGAGATAAAATTATCATAATTCAGGTTTTCCAGGGCGCCTCCGGCTGTAACCGGAATTTTCGAAAGTTGCTAATCTGAAGCGGTAAACGCTCATTTGCTTTGTAAATTTAGTGTAAAACCATAATCCATTTTTGTAAGTTTCAAAATCCGACGATTTCTTGGTGTTTGATGCATTCGTGTCTGGGGCGAGCCTGCTAAAATCCGGTGGTTCCATCAAAAAATCTATACAGAAATTGTGACAAGCTCTGAAAAGTAGAAAAAAGTTGTGCTGTTTCCCGTAGGGCTTGCTCTATCCATATATGTATAACTTGGACTCCTTCCGGGAGTTGTTATAAAAATTTGGAAAAAATTGTGAAAGACCTTTTCAAAAAGCATGGGTCGCAGATTCCGATAATTTTCCCAGAGGTTATTCAATTTTATGCGCTAGTTTTATAACCATTAGAAAGAAAATGAAATGATGCATCAAATGCTTCCAGAATCTCTTACACATCACTGTTCCACGAAATGTGGCGTACGTTTAAAAAAAGCGACATTACTTTCGGAACGACCTAATATATCAACATTTTTGTTTTTCAATCTTTCGCACTGTGCAAATTGCATTTTCGGGACCAGCGGGAAGGATAAGCGCAGGAAGTGAAAAAAATTTGGTTCGAAATATTGCTCGGACGCCGCCTTCAACCAAAATGAGCTTTTGCCGGAAAATGTCAGAAAAAGGGTGCACTAGATTAGCATAACAGCTTCTTGCTGCAGCAAAAATAAAGACTTTTGGAAAAGTTGTTTCAAAAAACACTGG